GCAAAATAATTTGAATCTTTAGAAGAATGCTAATTTAAATAGTGATGCGCACAATTAGAGACCACCACTGCGGGAGAGGAAACCAGGATTTTACAAGTGCTCTGCGAGGGTCACTAGCAAAGTCATCCCCAGCCCTCAGGTCACACTCAGGCAGGCGAACCAGCTCAGGCGGTGGCTCTGCCAACACTGCAAACGGGAGTGGGTGAAAGCTGGCCAGAGTGGGTTTTACTGCTAACTAATGAGAGCCTCAATGAACTCTCAGACTTTTAAACTAAAAAAATAAAAGATTATCATGTATACCATTAAAAAGAATGAAATAAGGCCATTTGCAGCAACATTAGACTTAGAGATACTGAGAAAGTCAGACAGAGAAGAAGAAATATCCGATGACATCCCTTATATGTGGAATCTAAAAGGAAAAGATACAAATGAACATATTTGCAAAACAGAAACAGACTGGCAGACTTAGGGAAGGAACTTACGGTTGCCGGGGGAAGGATGAGAGAGAGGGATCGTCAGGGCCTTTGGGATGGACATGAACACATTGCTGTATGTCAGATGGACAACCGGCAAGGGCCTGTATAGGTCTACACAGACATACAGCACAGGGAATGGCTCGATGTTCTGCAGTAGCCTGGGGGGGAGGGGGGTTTAGGAGAGAATGGACACATGCGTATCTACGGCTAAGTTCCTTCGCTGTGCATCTGAAACTATCACAACATTGTTAACTGGCTATACTCAAATAGAAAACAGAAAGTTAAAAAATAAATTTAAAAACTTATCAGGTACAAACTCATTATTTTATATGCGTGCTTTGTCGCTCAGTGGTGTCTGACTCTTTGCCACCCCAGCCCTCCAGGCTCCTCCGTCCATGGGATCCTCCAGGAAGAATACTGGAGGGGGTTGCCATGCCCTCCTCCAGGGGGTCTTCCCAACCCAGGGATCCAACCTGGTCTCTCACATTTACCATCTGAGCCACTAGGGAAGGGGACTCTGCCTGGCCAAATCCTTAAAATCATCAGGACAGGGAACTCCTTTCTATATCTGTTCCATTTTCTTCCTTTCGGAATAGGAATGTCTGTAACTATTATCATATGCCTGTCCCACCACTGCATTTTGGAAGCAGGAGCCCTGTGGATGTCTTGTTCCACTGATTCATAGATGCAAAGGAATTTTTCCCCAGGGTTTTCCCCTGTTGCTGATTTAGATGATCTAGATGAGACCTGGGACTTTTGAACTGATGACGTTTGGATGCGAGTTTAAACTTTAGGTTTGAGACTTTGGGAAATGTTAGGGTAGGGTGAATATATTTTGCACACAGGACAGACATAAATTTGGGCATCCAGAAGGCAGACTGTGGTGGGCTAAAGTTCACCTCCAAAAAGATATGTCCATATCTTAATCATCAGAGCCTTTGAATGTTACCTTATTTGGAGAAAGGGTCTTACAGACATAATTAAGTTTAGGCTCATCGCATGAAATTATCCTGGATTATTTCAGTGTGCTTGAAATTACAACAAAAGTGTCCTTATAAGAGAGAGGCATAGGGAGATTAAGTACACAGAGCAGAAGGTAATGTGAAGACAGAACAGGGAGATATGTGGCCATAACCCAAAGAATGCCATTAGCCACCCAAAACTGGAAGAGGCAAGGGAAGATTTTCCTCTAGAGCCCCTAGAGGGAGCATGGCCCTTGATTTTGGACATCTGGCCACAACACCCATGAGAGAATAAATTTCTGATATGTAAGGTCACCTAGTTTGTGGTAATTTATTACAGCAGCCAAAGGAAACTAATACAACTAAAAAAAAAACATTTTAAAGGGTTTCGCACTTTTAAAAACATTCCAAAGAAAATCTGCATAAATTTTCTGTGTATGTGCTTAGTCGCTCAGTAGTGTCTGACTCTTTGTGACCCCATGGACTATAGCACTCATTTTATATATGAGGAAAGCCAAAATTAAGGGGGAACAAGTCACTTGCCTAGGGCCACATACCAGCTGATGGCCAGCCAGAAGTGAAATACCACACTCACAGCGCATGTCTAATTCCCACATATTATCCTATCTGGTCACGTTAGTTCTCTAAAATTCTCCAAGAAAGCAAACCCCAGGTCCAGACCACTTTAGTAAACCAAAGAAGAACCCACAAACATTTTTACAATAACAATAGTATAGGCCAGATCTTATTAGCCAGCAAAAAATTAATATGAACAAGCAACCATCACGCTTGGTGGCCTTAGCATTCTTTATGTTTGTCAAATGCACAGAAGAAACATGAAAAAACTTTTTTTCCCTCAAACATAATGTTCTTATGCCACTGCATCTCTTCCTGAGTTAATAATGCCAATGCAGACTTTTAGTAACACTTCCCATTTATACATTTCTGGCAATGTTCTTTGCAGAAAAGGACATTGATACAGAAATCCATAGTAGAATGCTACATCATTATATGGTGTATGTTCATAAACCAGCTCTCGAAAAACTATATATCTAGAATTTTAGAAGTCCTCATTTACAGGCCTTGATGATTCCTGTGATATGAATACTCCCATCATGGCTGATTTCAAGCTACCGAGGCTGTAACAAATCATGTACAGAATCTGTGAATATTTAACCACTGGCTCAGGTGCCCTACTCAGAGGCAGCTGCAGCATATCACTGGTATGACAGGAAACCTAGAAATAACCATATAAGAAGAGACAGAGGCTCAAAGACAAGTAAGTAATTTGCCACAAGATCACAAAGTGGCCAAGCAGGTTTTAATACACAGGGTTCCACCTGCAATGCCTTCAAGTATTAAGTGAGACTTCTTGCTTTAGGAATAGTCAGTGGTCTTTATATTATTGTAGAGAGACGTGGATGAAAAATGTTGCCTGCCATATCAGTAAATGTTTGGACACCAAGCCATCAGCCGCTGTAGCCGCCCTGACTCTGCACATTGAAGGGATTCAGGAGGGAGGGCGGCAGGATACTGACCCTGAGGTAAGAAACCTATCCAAGGGGTGATTTCCACGAGCCCAGATTCTTGCATTTTTCCTGTACACAGAAAAACACTACTTCGTTAGCTTGAGAAGTCTAGTTTTCTTTCTTTAATTAACAGTAATCGTTTGATGTTCTGACTCCTGGGTTTTTGCTGCAAACGCTCTGTGGACATCACTGCCTTCTCTCTGTCTCTTTGGAGCAATCCTTCAGAGCTACCTGAGAGGCTGTCACTCACCCAGGCTTGAGTCCTCAGCAAGTTCACCAAATGGAACACAATTTTCAACTTTTAGGTTGTGCTTTTTTTTTTTTATTCAAGAAGCCATTCTCAGAAAACCAGCAGCCTCATGACAACACTAGGGAAACTGCTGAAATTCACATTCTCAGGCCCCACCCCAGAACTAGTGAATTGCAATCTCAGGGGCCCAGACATCTGTGCTTCCACAAGCTCTCTGAGTGGTAGAGAGCAGTGGGAAAGAATCTTTCCTTAATACCTACCACTATTTTTATGAATGAGATTCACACACAAATATAATAGCCAATCTACTTCTTCACATCAGTATCCATTCCAGGAGATTCTTCATCTGAAGCTTCTAATGTAAAGTCTATCATTTTTCATATCTTCAATGACCTTATTTTTCAAAATAGTTTACAGTTTTTTCTAACAGTAGCAAGAAGTAAAAAAACTGTTGAGTGATTTACCAACCAATTCCCAACTTCAACATTTTATTGACCAAAACCTAACATATTTGTATGTCTTAGCCCTGGCATCTTTCTTTTTTAAAAAACTGCTTTAAAATAAGTATTTCTTTTCCAATGTTCTGTCTTACCTCTTTCACAAATCAAGGCAGTTGATAGTAACCTGGGGGAGGGAGCTTCCCTAATCTACATACTGCCCTGTCAACTGATTATGTATGATTATGTTATGTATTTCTGTTTTGTCTAATCTGCCATTTCCTGTTGTTTTGTATTTGTTCCCAATCTTCAAAACCAGGACAAAGGCAAATAAATACTATCTGCCTTGTTTTCCTCTTCCAATATTTTAGAGGTTGGAAAATTTACAAAATAAATATCCTCTCAACCTTCTTGTAAAAGCATTGCAAAAGAGCAAAAGAAAAACTGAGTAATAGTTTCCCTAATTTAAAAATACCCAGCTAAGGCACAATCAAATAACAAATAAGTGCACTGATACTACTCTGAAAATAATCAGCAATCTAAAATTAAGGACTATGATTCTTAATTCATTATCCATTATTCATATTATTTGGAGGATAAACTTAAATATGTTTAATTGACTTGCACATAAATAAGAGAGTTAATAACATAAGTGTTGGTAGGTAGTAGATGAATGAAAACATTTTGGAAGGGCATTTAATTGCTACCACATTTCTTGGGAAATATAAAACCACTTGGTGACTGTGGTTCTCGGCCTTGGTGAGAAATATATTTAGTGGACTTGGAAATAGACGTTTTCAAGGATACGAAAGGATTAGCCTTCTAATCTTCCAATTACCTGGTCCCAGCTGAACTTATATTTACCAAACAAGAACTGGCCAGAAAAGCTTTGCAGCTTGCAAGTGACCATCCTGAAATCTACAACTTCTGAATTTTTGTGATTCCCATCACTAATACCTCTCTTAAAAAAAAGAAAAAAAAAAAAGCAGTTTCTTTCATGAGATTCATCAATGATTCCTCTAGCCACAGGGTGTGAGAACTCACCAACCACAACGTGTGAAGTCCCACCGGCCACAGGTGTGATAACCCACAATTGCTCCTCATCTTCCCAGTCAATATGTGCACCTCAGCCAGCACCCCTATGTCCCTCTGCTCGAAACCCTTCTCTTTCAAAGCAAAAGGCAAACAAATTCCATTCCCCCAAATAAGCTAGACTCAGATCTCAAATATAAGTCCCATTTGTGCTGCAGAGTCTTTCTCACAGGGTACATTGGGTACAAAACCCAGCCCCATGTGGGCAGGTGAGGATGCAGTGGGAAATGGCACAGAGAGCGGGGGGCACTTACGGTTGGCACAGCTTGATTAGGTCCTGGTCAGTGGTGCCTGGTGGGAGGCCTCGAATGTACAGGTTGGTTTTACTCAACTGTTCCCCGCTGCTGTTGCTGCTGCTGTGGTTGCTGCTGCTGTTTGTGCTGGGGCTGGGAGGAGCCATGGGGTGGGGAGCTGGTGCATAGGACTGCTGGAAACAGAAAAGGCTGTTACTGGAAAAACAGAGCCAGCTCCCTATTCCCAGGCCGGCAGAGCCACTCGAAAGCAATGTGAGCTTCTCGGCCTCTCCAATCCACGCACGCACACTCTGCTCCGGGGCACTTCTGAGGACATCCTTTCCTCCTTCCCGCCCTCTGGCTCTGCCTCTGGATCGGCCCAGCACGGTTCCCTCCCAGTGCACCAGGGCTCTGCCCCTAGCTCACCTTCGACAGCCAGGCATCTCTGCTTTTGCCGCTACTCTGCGTTCCCTCCTTTTCTCCAAAGAAACTTCCTCATATTGTTTTCCTCACATCACTCTCCATTGTGATCACTCCATGAACAGAGATGCTATGAATCTACCAATGAATGAATGCCTCTATCTTTATCTTGTTCTCCCATTCCCAAATCTGCTTCTTCATGGTGAACGCTCTGCTTGCGGACTGAGCCACTGTTTTCTTCTCTCGGAGTCACTCTGATCCAAAGTCTTAAGTCTAGGCACTAGTGACAAACTGCCAGGATAATTCTTTCTCGCAGGGGCTGTTCTGTTCACTGCATGCATCCTTGGCCTGTACCCACCAGATTTTAGTAGCATCCCTCCCCCAGCTGTGGGTCAAAAATGTGTCCACACATTGCCAAGTATCCTCCAGGGAGGAGAAATCTTTCTCAGGAAAGAACCATTGGTCTAACCTGTTGCACTATTATGACAAAATGGAAATGATAAGATGACCCTCAATGAGTTGGGAAAATACAACGTGAGGATCTTTATACCTATGTATGCCTGAATTAGCAGACATTGTTATTTATTTCCTTTTCAAACAGGCATATCTTCAAAAGTTCTGAGAATACATTGACTGACTGGGTTTTAGTCCCTGATGTGTCTATTATTGGCTGTGTGACCTTTGGATGGTACCTGAACCTCTCTGAGATGCAACAGTCTCATGAAAATGAGTAGGAAAAAATTAGCCACCTCCTATGTCATAGGGTCTTTACAAAAACTCAGTGAGCTAATAATGCAAATAGACTGGTTCCTGGGCATCATTAATTGCACAATAAGTGTTAGCAATATCAAAAATGCAAGAATAATAACGGCAATCATGATATTTGTGAGTCATATCTGTCTTTTGTGTGTGCACTCAGTCATGTCCAACTCTTTGCAGCCCATAGACTGTAACCTGGCAGCCTCCTCTGTCCATGGAATTTTCCAGGCAAGAATACTGGAATGGGTTGTCATTTCCTCCTCCAGGGGATCTTCCCAACCCATGGATCAAACCCGTGTCTCTTACATCTCCTGCATTGGCAGGCGGGTTCTTTACCACTAGCTCCACTTGGGAAGTCCCAGTGATCTTAACCTTTAAATCTATCCTAGATTCTCTCAACTATCATCTAGAATGCTATATAAATATACAGTGAATGCATCCATCATGATTCCAGTGGGGACACGTTGGAGACTTCTAACCTGAATATTCATCAGCTACTCTATCAGGGGTGAGAGGTGAGTACCGATCCAACAGCCAGTAGGGGTTTATTAAACACTCCAGCTACACCCCCACACAATAAAAATTGAGTGATCACAGCACTTGGCCCATAAAGACAGGAGGCATTGTCTGGTCTTGTTTCTTGCTATAATAATCCATGTTACACCCTCCAAGATTTCAGATGTGCCTTAGTCTCTCTTCCCAGCTGGCTCTAAGACAAGGCCTCTTGGATATGGGAAGGAAGGATATAGCTGATGCCCTTGGGTCTTTGCTCTCCGTTCCCTGCACAGCGACTTATTGCAAAGACACCTTGCTTTCTGCCTCGCTGTCATTCTTGTAGTATCCATCCTGGAAGCCTTGGTGTTAGCTGCATTCAACCACTTCTTCAGTATGACTTAATCTATAAGCAACATACTTAGCACAGAATTTGAAAGTGAATGACACGGGAGAATGCTTTCTGTTCTCAACATTTGAATAAAATAACAACTATTCATTGTCTTTTGGAATGTCATATCTGCATAAAGCTGAATAAAGTTTCCTGGCCGACATTAAAAAAAAAATTCCTTCTTGACCTACGAATTCTACTTCGTGCCTCGAACACCCAGGAACATGTAAGCTCTCCCCATTTACAAGCCCTGCACTTAGTAGGTGCTTAACGTGGCCTGGTTGAAGCTGCATTCTGGTCAGTGTATCTCACAACCAGACAGATGGGATTTATTTTTGATTTCTCTCCTGTGGGCTAGTCTTTTAAATTTCCCAGCTTTTTTCAGGCTGTTTCTTACCACTTTCACCTCCCCCCTCTCCAAATTCTTTGAATTCCATTCTGTACTCAGGCTTCCTTTAAAATGAGGCTTTGTTTAAAACACCATTCCCATTGCAGAACCTTTAAAACCACTAGGGAGCCAGAAAAATGTCTCCAGCTTTACGTATCACAGATCAGATGGACCGGTTCAGACCAAGTGAGTCCCTGGCTGATCAAGTAAGAAAGCATCAACTACAGGGTGATCAATCTGTGTTGACTGAATTCTTTTTTCTCCCCAGGGGTCTTTGCGAGCATTTCCATAACTAGACACCATTTAGTAAATTGCATGGTGCTTAACACCATAAAAGTGCCCTCCAAAGGGCACACTGTATTCACTGGGAAAAATTAAAACAAAATGGTCAAAAATGAATCAAAGTGGGAATAAGGAGAGAGAACTTGTATGCATGGAAATGAGATATATATATAATTTAAAAACAGAAGTAGCAGCACCAGATTCTTGTAGAGAGAGATGTATTTCTAAAAACCTTTGAAAAATACATACAGTGAAGAGTGGTTTTCTATGTCCTATTCTTGTTTGTAAGTTCTAGAAATTCTACTGAAAGATGTAGGCTTTCTCAGTCTTATTGAATCAATGAACACACAGTTTTTTAAGACCCAGTGCCAACACTCTTTCTAATCCTTGATATTCTCATTTATCCACTGATATACTGAATGATTCAGGTAGCAGCCTACATTATAAATCTCTTTTGTTTAAAGAATTATAAATTCCTTCCTCTGTACTCATTTTCAAAATACATACCCTTTAATCAACAAAACGTTGGCAGAAGTCTCCCAGAATGTCTGACAAGTGCACAGGCTTAAATGAATGAATTTGTGAAAAGCAAAAGAGATTTTGCACACTCTGGCTACCAAAGACAAATGACTGAACCACAGCATCTTTAAAAAAAGGAAAACGAGGAGTGTCAATAACCTTTAAGGGTCAATGGGGCAGAGCAGCCACTTTGTTGATTAAAAGTGGTTCTGATTCCATTCTCAATTCTTTGTTTTTAGATGGATTTGCAATTTTATCATTGATTAACATTTAAATCATTTTGAGGCACTAAGAAAGACACTTTAAAATGTTAGAAAAAAAATTATTTCCTTCAGATAAAATTGGCTTTGCCACCTCAAAGTCACCCTTTATCAATCCTCTTTAGGAAGGGTGAGGACTTACAGTCTGGGGATACAGAACATTGTTACTGAGCTGGACCAGAGCAAGGCCCTGCTGTGAATTTGCAGTGTCAGCTTGTTAGAAGTGATAGCAACAGCACACTTTCAGAAAGGGGGCTTCAGATGCTGCTCCACTGAGGAGGGGGATAGAGAGCTTGGCTCGAAGCTGCATATGCTTGGGAAGTAAGCAGATTTTTCTTAGATGTTTTTTATTCATGGTGGCATTGCTGGAAGGGTCTGTTAGGGATTCTGACATGAGGGCAAAAGCCCCTTAATCACATGTCAGCCCTGCTAAAATCAGCTGATCGGCACCAGCGTCCTCTTTAGGGAGTTAAATAAAATGACTTAGCATCCATTTTGGAAGATGCTATTCTTAATGATTCTAATAATTATAGGTAACATTTGCCATCTGCTTGCTGAGCATGTTATATGTTATCTTCAGAACAATCCAAGGAGGCAAATCATTCTTTTCGCGGTTTACAAATGAGAAAACTGAGGCAGAGAAAGGGCCAATGACCTTCTCAAGGTCGCACGGCTGGAACCCCAGTTTGATCCTAGGGAGCCTGACTGCAAAAGCCACACAGCTCCCCAGGATGCTCGAACAGAAGCTTGCCTCTTCATGGTAGGGGCACCGAGAAACACAAAATCCCTCCTTGCAGAGAACTCTGCAGGATGGTGTCCTGCCGGGAGCTCTGGCCTGTCCAAGGACAAAGGGAGATGGAAAGGCCAATGATGATAAACAGTAAACAGTCAAACGAAGGTTCACAAGCACCACCCCCCATCAGAATTTAAATGAAGTTCACCTTAAATTTAATTTCAAAGGGGAAGTGACCATCAGAAGCAAGCATGTTCTGAGTTTTTCAAATAATGTCAAACGAGGGGGTTCATTTGTCAAGATTCATGCTTTGTTATTTAATAACAGGAAAATGAACTGGCTTGTAGATCATCCCAAGCAGCTGATTCATTTAGTGTGCTTTGTTAATATGCCTCATTTTTCAAGTTTGAAAAGTGAATCAACCAGGTCCTCCTACAATCTTGGAAAATGCGTGGCTTGGAAGGCAGCCCGTCTGTGGTTTCAACCCCCAGCTAGGTACTTTGGAGATAAATTGGAGAGGGATGTGAGCTGTGTTTTTCTTTGTCTGTTTGTTTTCCTATTTGCTTGGACAGAAAGCACTTGGTACCTCAAATAAACATTCACACAATAGAGGAAAGCAAATTGTTAAAAACCAAGTCAAGCGATACTGGATGGATGCCTGGCTGAAGGTGGCGCTATAATGCACAGACCTTAACCAGGTCATTTTTAATGACCTGACTGACCCTCCTGACATTTTGGACAGGATAGTTCTCTGTTGTGAGGGGCTGTCCTGTGCACCGCGGGATATTTAACAGTATCCCCATCTTCTACCACTAGAGGCCAGCTGTGCTGTCCTCCCCCCAAGTTGTAGCAACCAAAAATGTCCCCAGATATTGCCGCAGGTGCCCTGGAGCTACGACATCACCCCTGGTTGAGAACCACTGCTTCACACAGATCCATCCCCTGTCCTA